GCCTATTATTTCATAAAACCTCTTTAAAATTAAAATTAAAATAGTGAATTAGTTAACCCCTTGCCCTTTTTTACGCTGCTTATAGGAATGGATACAAATTTTAGAAAAGTAATAAATAAAAACATATTTCTATGATTAGAAATTAACTGGGAATTTTACTGAACATTGTTCAATAGTTGTTTGTTTGATATATGTTATGTGTTGTGATGTAGTTCAATTAGTGTATACAATATAATTACTGAAAGTAAAACTGGACCCTTGTGCCCTGCCCTCATCACTTACATATCAACTTTCCATTGAAGAATAACACAAAGTCAAGAAAAAATCACCCAATATTTTTTGTTAAAATTCTGTTATTCTTCAGTGAAAAGAACATATGGAAGTGACGAGGCAGGGCACAAACGTCCAGTTTTACTTTAAGTAATTATACTGTATAAAGTAAATGAACTACTACACAACACATAACATGTATCAAACAAACATCTTTCGAACAATGTTCAGTAAAATTCCCAGTTAATTTCTTAATTAGCTATATTATTAATTATATAAATATAACAAATAATTTTAATTAAATTTTATACTTCTACATTATCTTTAAATTACAAAATCTTGGTTTGTTTATAGTTAATAAGTATTTATTTTGATTTGACTTGCTTTTGTATTGAATTCTGTGTGTATCTGCAAATGTTAATTTGATACCTGATGACGTCCTGTCGCATGTAGACCCGAACGTATGCGAACATGCACCGTTGCCAAATCTCTTCTTTTGCAGTTTTAGGCATTAGCAGATTGCAAGCAAGGTTGCCAGATTTTTAACTGATTCAAATGAAAGAAATCAACTACAAAGGTGAATATTTCAAATCACACTACATGAAGTTACACAGAATATATTTAATTTATTTTGAACGAAAAGAAATTTTAGTAGCTAAGATTTCTGGACTTGAAAGGCTAGTTTTTGACATATACGCTGATTTTGCTAATTTTTTTTTTTTTATAAAATTAATCCATTTTGCAGCCACTTGGACTTTATACTGTGCAGAACTAAAACTTGATTAAACTGTAGCTTTTGCGTTGACTCCAAAAAATGAACCAGATATATAATTTAAAATAAAAACTACTAATGATGCAAGACATCGTGCTTAAAGGCAATTTAAAATTTTTAAATGCTTAAAATTTTGTTTGAAAATTTTGATTTTTGATTCAAAGCGATCGCGCCGCATAGCTGTTTTAGAGAGAGAAATACCCGTGCGCTTAAGCGTCGCCTCGCAGTCTTACAGTTAAACATTACAAATCTTGGTACGGAACCTATAAACATGTAAATAAAAAAAGTTGTTTTTATTAGAAAAATCTCTATAAAGTGTCCGATAAATTGATGTGCATATGTCTAATGATAATTTTTGACCGCCATGAATCTACAAAACCGCTAAACCTGTCTTTTCAAAAAATTTGTCAATTCTTTATTATGTCAATACAATGTTTCTTAACAAATCAAACGCCCCGCTCCCTCAAAAATTGAATTGCCCTGTTTGGTAGTTTTTGCCCAGTATCCTCAAAACGGCTGAACCTGCCTCTGCAAAAACTAATCAGCACATCTCCTCCGATCAATAGGAATCGAATGCTTTTTAAATTATTCGATTGATTCGTGTTGTCGAAATCGTCGATGAAAAATTGTACACACACATACATCATTTTTTCCTAAGGAATGCCAAAATGTTCAAAAGGCTTTGAGGCGTATTCTCAAGAACAGTTTTTTCAACATTTTTTACACATGTTGCTCCAAGGATCAAACTTATTTGAAGTGTTAAATGTTCTTCCCTACTTTATTAACTTTCCATTTGTTGTACCTTTAATGAACGTTTTCAGAAGTTTTGAACCAAATTTAACTAAGTACGCGTTTGAACTAGAGTCAAGAATTTCTACGTTCAAGATAACTGGATCTTGTTAAAGTTTTATTGAATTTAGTAAGTTTTAAATAGTGTCAGCATGAGGTGTCACTGTTTTCCTCGTGCGTGCGGCTCCCAAGTTCGCTTAGTTTTCATCTCGACATCTCAGCATCACAAAATCGCAAGAGATAGGAACTGTTCAAAACTCTCAGAGTTTGTTTCGCACTTTGATATACTGCCATCATAAATAATATTCGTTAAATTCAACGGGATATAACCATACCGAATTTGGAGGTAAACACGATATTCTCACAAGCGCGAAAATGGCTTACCTCAAATTGCAGACTTACTTTTATTGTTACTTTTGAATTTTACACCCGCACAACAATTCATATGAGATAAAACATGTTAGAATATAACAATATAACAAAAAGTTTATCTAGGCATTCACCTAAGTATTAAAATAACTATTGGTGCATGACATCGTGCCTTAAGGCAAATTGCTGGAACTTCCTGTACCAAAAAACTTTTTTTTTAAAAAAAGATTTGATTTTTTTTGAAAACTTTGTGAAAATTAGATTTTTGAGGATTTTTAAAAATTTGACTTCATCAAGGATCTGAATTTTTTTACAATTTCAAATTTTTGAAAATTTTGAATTATATTTCATTGCAATCGCGCCGCTCAGCTGTTTTAGGGGCGAAATATCGAAGCGCTTTAGCGCCGTGTCACAGTCTAACGGATAAAGATCGGTACGGAACCCATAGAACAGTAAATTAAATTTGTACTTATTATTAAAATCTCTATAAAATATCTGATAATTTGAAGTGCATATGACTAATGATCATTTTTGACCGCCAAATGGCATTTTTAATATTTTTTTTATTGGATCTCCGAAAACGCTGGACCTGCCTTCCCAAAAATTCAATCAGTACTTCATTTCGTCAATGCAAATAAAATGCTTTTTGAACCATTCAAATCGGACGCTCCGTTTTCTCAAAAACACAAGAACTCAAAACCGCCAAATGGCATTTTTTGTACTTCTTATAGGATCTCCGAAAACGCTGGACCTGCCTTCCCAAAAATTAGATCAGTACTTCATTTCGTCAATACAAATAAAATGTTTTTTGAATCATTCAAATCGGACGCTCCGTTCTCTCAAAAATTGAATTACTATTATTAGCATTTTTTGCCCCGTATCTTCGAAACGGCTGGACCTGCCTTTGCCAAAAACTAAGCAGCTCGTCTACTTATTAATAGGAATCCAATGTTTTTTTAATCATTCAAATTGGTTGATCTGTGTTCCTCAAATCGTCGACAAAAAATTGTATCCACACATACATACACACACATCAATTTTTTGCTAATATATCCAAGTTATGCCAAAATATTCAGAAACCTTTGAAATGTAAACATATAATAAAAATTTCAGAACGTCTCCCCATTAATACGAATCGAATCTTATTTTAATTATTCAAATCAGTTGATCGGTTGAAAAAGTGATGTGTGGTCCCGAAAACGTCGACAAAATATTGCACACACACATACACACACACACAGATTTACATCCATATTTTCTAAGGTATCTCAAAATGTTCAAGAACCTTTGAAACGTAAAGATATTAAAATTTTCATTTTCAATTTTTTTGCGATTAATATAACTTACCCAACGGGAAGTTAAAAAGTTAAAAAATTTCACAATATAAAAAAAATCAAATTTTTCAAAAATATTTTTTCAAAAATTCCAAATTTCTCAATATTCTAATTTTTTTTAAGTTTTCAAAAAACTTTAAAGTTTTTTATTTAAAAATTGTAATTTTTGGTACGGGATGTTCCAGCTATTTGCTTTAAGGCACGATGCCATGCACCATTAGTTTATAATTCCAAACTGATATTGTCAGATTACAAATTAATATGCAATATTAATTATTCCCAATGATCTCATAAATAGCCATTTGTAAATGTTAACATTAATATTATTATTATTATTATTATTAAATTATTAATATTATATTATTATCGTAATATTTCAAATATTGTTATTTTGTTATATTTATTAACATCTATTACTTATTGTTTTGATTCGACTTTTTATTTATTTTATTTATTAATTTTATTTTTATTACCATTTGCTTTTATTTTATATTAAATCATCATACTACGGATATCATTTTAATGTAAATTCTATCTTTGTACTCTTATTTATTTAAATTTATGTTATTGTTTATTATTATTACTAGATGTTAAATTATTTAACAGTTGTAATAAATATTGTAATTTATAAAAAAGCAATATTAAACAATAATGTGCATTAAAATAATGGCATGTAATAATATGTACCGCGCCCCGCAGGTTGGAAACCACGGCGAAAACGTATGCCAGGCTTGAACGTTTCGCCTGCGTTGTCGGGTTCACTAATAATACAGTGTAAAACTCGGCTCTCCGCTTCGGCTCAATAATATGAGAGAGTATGGGTGCGTATATAGGGTAGGGCGGGGCTTAAAGGTCCATGGGAAAAAAGGACCATGGCGCCAGTCGAGCGACGTTGCTAGTCGGAGATACACGTTGCGCGTCCAAGTATTTATTTTCGTTGTAATTTGTTTGGAATCGAGTATTGTTATTTGAATATTCGTTATTCAATTGTTATAAGGTAAGTTGTTATTTTTAAGTTGTTTAAATGTACTTTTGTATAACTTTACATGCGATTGGGGTAAAAAACGACAGACTGGTTCTTTTTACCCCTTATATAACTTAAATATTGCCTATAACTTTTTTCTGTTTATTTCAGGATGAGGAATTACAAGAGAAAAACAGATCGTGCCACTAAACCTGTGGAAGTGATGCAGCAAGCAGTCCATTTAGTTTTACATGAAAAAAAATCATTAAGGGAGGTATGTCGTATATTTGAATTAAATAAAACTTCATTAGCAAGATTTATGAAACGAATAAAAGACGATCCTACAGACATCAGATTTGGCTATAGTGCCCCAAGACAATTATTCAAAAAGGAACAAGAATGCAAAATAAAAGAAAATTTGAACAAACTTGAACATATTTTCCATGGTGTAGGTTCAAAAGAAGCTCGTCGCATTGCTTATGATTGTGCAATTAAATACGAAATGAGTATACCAGAAAACTGGGTTACAAATAAAATGCCTAGCAGGGATTGGATCACCGCTTTTCTTAAACGAAACACAAGTTTTTCGCTTAGAAAACCTGAAACAGCCAAAATCAAAGCAATGTCATTCAACAAAACTAATGTGCAAGAGTTTTACACAAAATTAGCAAAGATTTTGGATCAATATAAATTCGCAGCTTCTGCTATATGGAATGCAGATGAAACTTGTGTATCGACCGTTAGCAAGCTCCCAAAAAAAACTGCTAATAAAGAAAAGGAACATGTTGCTGTTGACAAACCAACTGGTGAATGTGGAACTAATGTTACTGTTTTAGTTGCAGTCTCCGCTACAGGTTCATTTATTCCACCTATGTTTATATTTCCTTGTGAAAAGTTTGAAGAGCGCTTTATTCAAGATGGTCCTACTGATTGCATAGGTGCTGGGAATCCAAGTGGCTGTCTTACTCATGACGATTTTTTTATGTATATGCAACATTTTATCAAGCAAGTCAAGGCTAGTAAAGAATCACCAGTTTTGTTGATTTTAAACAACAACTCTTCATCATACATATCTGTACCAACGTTAGACCTTGCTGAGGAAAATGGAGTGATAATGCTTTCTATTCCTCGACATTGCTCCCAGAAAATGCAACCACTTGACGTGGGAGTATACGCACTCCTCAGAACATATATGCCATCAGCTAAAGTTGCATGGATGCAAAATAATGCTGGAAAGATGATGACTATTTATGATATCCCTGAAATCGTTCGCACTGCTTTACCTTTAGCTTTAGAACCTAATAACATAGTGAGTGGGTTTGAAAAAACTGGCGTATTTCCCTGCAATGAAAATAAATTTAGCGACGCTGATTATGTGTCATGCCCTATGGAGGAAGACAAAAATGAGACATCAAACATGGAACAGCCATCAACATCCACTTTTTCTCTTTTGCATAACATATTGAGTGGATTTGAAAAAGCTGGAATATTTCCTGACAACCAAAATAAATTTGACATAGCTGATGATTTTGCGATGAATCCAACGGAAAATGAGCCACAGCCATCGACATCGACGTCAGGTTTGTTGCCAAATGCACCACAGCCTTCTACATCATTGAATCCACAAGAACCAACGTCGAGTGAAACAGAGGTTGAAACTATTGAAGTATTAATTGATCCTCTAGAATTATTTTCAGAAAAATGAACATTTAAAAAGTAAACTGGAAATGGCTACCAAAACAATATGTTTGAAATAGTTACCGTAACAAAATATATTTAATTTTGTTTTAATAATAATGTTAAATTTTTAAAATCTGTTTTTCAACTAATATTAGTTACCTAGCAGGTAATTAAAGTGCATTTTTGTGACATACTACACTTTTAATTATGAGAGTTCATACAATTTCATGTAGAGTTATGTCTTTTTGTGGAATTGTAAACTTTACATTTTATATTCTTGTAAGTTATAAATGTTATACAATATAGTGATATTAATAAATAAGTGTAATATACTTTTAGAAGAATAGCACTCATGTATTTATAAGAATATTGTATATTACATAACTTACTACAATAAATATATTTTAAAAATTAAATAAAAAACGTGTTTTTATCTTGAAAGTTTAATATTGAATATTATTCTCCGATAGTTTTAGAATAAAAGAAATAGTTAAAAATATATAAAATTTAGTAAAAATACAATATGAAAATATTGTTCTGTTCTACAGTCAATTGTAATAAATACAACATTTTTTTGTTTGATACGTGTTATGTATAATAACCAATTTTATTTTTATTTATGATGTACCGACAAATAAATGAGAAAGTTATGTATATCAGAACCCATATTATCACTCCGTTTTCAGTAAAACTACCCTTATTTTAAAGCAGGTACTAAGGGTCGTATTCACAAAAACCAAGGTATCAGAAATTTTTGAACGGCCAACAAGTTTAGACCAAGTATTAACATGAAATATCATAATGACTAAATAAAAATAAAGTATTATATAAATAAAAAAAATCAAAATAAATATTTTCGATTCGTACATACATAACAAAGTTCTCTACACATATATAAATAAATGAATGTCCAGTTCACTATCGGCAACTTTGATAACAAAAAATTTCAAAATTCAAATGCCACCTGGTCTTTTTTATACTATAGGCGGGGTAAAAGGGGATAGCTAGGGAAAAAAAGTAAACCATTTTATTTTTGCTTTTAAAAAGCTTTAACGTAATAATAGGTATGATATTTAAGTTTAGAATGACCAATAAAATTAAAATTTATAATTTAAAAACATATATTGTTAAGCATAATGAACAAAAATATTTATTATCCCTTGCTGATATCATGAATGGGAAGTGTTTCTGTTTAATTTATCATTATCAGACCCATTGTTTCTTAAAATACAATTATTACACAGAAGGCTAGTGATGCATGGTATCGTGCTTTGAGACAAACTGTTGGAACTTTTTTTAATTTTTTTAAAAACTTTGAAAAAAAAAAATAGATTTGAGTTTTTTGTTAGGTTTTTGAAAAATTTAAATACATTTGATTTTTTTTAATAAAATGGGTGTTTTTTATTTTAAAATTTCTGAACTTTGCATGGCAATCGCGCTGCGTAGCCGTTTTAGAGATAAAAAAGCGAAGCGCGTAAGCGCCGCGTCGCAGTTTAACTGACTAACATTAGTACGGAACCTTTAGAAATTTGAACAAAATTTGTACATGCTAGGAAATGCTTTTCTAAAAACTTTATAGAATTATTCATATCGTCAATAGAAATAAAATGTTTTTTTAATTTAAACGTATGGATTACAAAAATTTAAAAAAGTTTGTATTTTCATCATGTAAACACATATGTTACATATTTTAAAGATATAATTTTACAATATTGAAGCAAAGAAAACATGTTAACGCCGTGGTTTCCAAAGAGGGGCGTACTACAATGGCTTTTAAAATGCTATTTCCAAAATAAACCAAAAACGTTGAAATAATATAAAGATAAATGCATAAATAATTAAAAACTTTAGACTAAGTCATAGTAATCGCAAAAAATAGAAAATTAAAATTTTCATATATCTTTACGTTCCAAAGGTTTCTGAACATATTGGCATAACTTAGAAAAAAAGGATGTATGTGAGTGTGTTCGGTTACAAATTTTCGTCGAAGATTTCGTGAACACGATTCAACCGAGTTAAATACTTCATACAACATTCGATTCGCATTGGCGGGGAGTCGTGCTGATTATTTTTTGACAGAGGAAGGTCGAGCGGTTTCGAAGATACGCGGCAAAAAATGGTAATTCAGTTTTTGAGATAACAAAGCGTCCTATATGAATGATTATGAATATGATTAGAAATAGATTAGATTAAGAATGATTAGAAATAATATTTTATATGTATTGACAAAATGAAGAACTGATACAATTTTTGTGATGGCAGGTCTAGCGGTTTTGGAGATCCAATAAAAAAAGTAAAAAAAAATTGGCGCCAAAACGAACATAAAACATATGCACAGCAAATTATCAGATATTTTAATCATAAGTATAAATTTTGTTTACATTTCTATGGGTTCCGTAAAATTGTTTAACCGATAGACTGCGACGCGGCGCTTATGCGCTTTGATATTTTAACTCTGCGCAGCTGAAGCATCGCGATTGCTTTGAAAAGAAGTTAAAAAATTTCAAAATGTTTCAAAATATTATCAAAAATGCCAATATTTTTCAAAAATTTTAAAACTCAAAAATCTAATCAATTTGTAGTCTGATAAATGAATTACAATATCAGTTAAGTATTTATAAAATTAGATTGTTAGGAAAACTAAGAGGAACGCAACATTATGTTTTTTAAAAAAACGGTGAAGCGCGATACAAAAAGGTTGGAAACCACTGGTTACCGTACGCCAGACTTAAATGTTTGCCTGTGTTGTCGGGATGACTAATAATACAGTGTAAAACCTCCGCTCTCCGCTTCGGTTCAATAATACGTGTGTGTATGCGTGTGTATGTATAGTAGGGCGGGGCTTAAAGGTCCGAGGGTAAAAAGATACACGGCGTCAGTCGAGCGACGTTGCTATCGAGAAATAGACGCGGCGCGCATAGTATTTGCTTTCGTTGTTAATTTGTTTGGACTCGAGCATTATTATTTTAGTATATATACGTTATTTATTTGTTTTGTAAGGTAAATTATTATTTTTATGTTAGTTTAAACTTACTTTTGTATAACCTCACATGCGGTTGGGTTATAAAAGAACTGTCTGGTTCTTTTAACCCCCTCATATCATATATTTTGCCTATAACTTTTTTTTTGTTTATTTCAGGATGAGGAATTACAAAAGAAAAACAAACCGTGCCAATAAACCTGTTGAATTGATGCAGCAAGCAATGAATTTAGTTCTACATGAAAACAAGTCATTAGGAGAAGTTTCTCGAATGTTTGAAATAAATAAAACTTCATTATCAAGATTTATGAAACGTATAAAAGATAATCCTGCAGATGTGAGATTTGGCTATAGTACTCCAAGACAAGTTTTTAATAAGGAACAAGAATCCAGAATCACAGAATACTTGCATAAACTTGAACAAATTTTCCATGGCATAGGTTCAAAAGAAGTTCGCCGCATGGCTTATGATTATGCAATTAAACATAAAATAAAGACACCAGAAACATGGCGCGCAAATAAAATGCCTAGTAGGGATTGGGTATCTGTTTTCCTTACACGAAACCCAAGCCTTTCAATCAGAAAAAAACCTGAAACAGTCAGAATCAAGGCTATGTCATTCAACAAAACTAATGTGCAAGAATTTTACACGAAATTAGCAAAAATTTTGGATCAGTTTAAATTCACAGCTTCTGCTGTATGGAATGCAGATGAAACTAGTGTATCGACTGTTAACAAACTATCAAATATAATTGCAGAAAAAGAAAAGAATAATGTTACTGTATTACTTGCAGTCTCGGCTTTAGGTTCATTCGTTCCACTTATGTTTATATTTCCTTGTGAAAAGTTTGAATACCATTTTATTCGAGATGGTCCTTCTGATTGCATAGGAGCTGGGAATTCAAGCGGTTGTCTTACTCATGACGAGTTTTTTATGTATATTCAACATTTTATCAAGCACGTTAAGGCCAGTAAAGAATCACCAGTTTTGTTGATTTTGAACAACAACTTTTCATTATCCATGTCTATACCTACACTGGACCTTGCTGATGAAAATGGCGTGATAATGCTTTCTATTCCTCGACATTGCTCTCAGAAAATGCAACCGCTTGACGTTGGAGTATATGAACCTTTTAAAACATATATGTCATCTGCTAAAGTTGCATGGATGCAGAATAATGCTGGGAAGACAATGACGATATATGATGTCCCTGAAATCGTTCGGATTGCTTTACCATTAGCTTTAGAACCTAATAATATAGAGAATGGGTTTGAAAAAAACTGGCGTATTTCCCTACAACCAAAATAAATTTAGCGACGCTGATTATGCACCATGTCCAATGGAAGAAGACAAAAATGAGACACAGCCATCGACATCGACTTCAGAGTTTCTACATAACATAATGAGTGGATCTGAACAAACTAGCGTATTTCCCAACAACCAAAATAAATTAAGCGATGCTGAATTTGCACAAAATCTAATAAAAAATATCAAAAAGGAGCCAGAGCCAGATCCATCGACTTCAGATTTTTCACCAAATGCACAAACTTCTACATCATTGGATCCACAGAAACCAACGACGTATGATACAGAAGTTGAAACTATTGAGGTATTAATCGATCCTTTGGAATTATTTTCACATAAATAAAGGCTCAAAAAGTAAAATAGGAATACTTACCAAAACAAAAGCTATTTCAAATTGTTGCCATAATAAAAATATTTCATTTTGTCTTTATAAGAGTTTAAAAATTTATGTTAAATATTTTAATTATGTTATAATTAGAGTGCATTTTTGTGACTACATTTTTAATATAAAGAATTCTGCTGCAGTTCATACATTTTTTAATTTCTATGAATTATGTCTTTTATTGTGGAACTGTGAACTCTACATTTTTGTAACACGAATGTATATTATGATTTTATATGGGAATTTTATATCATGATTCATATCGTGATAGTGATAATAATAAATAAGAATAAGTTACTTTAAGTAGAGTAGCATGAATTTATTTTTAGAATATTGTATGTTTTATATTATAAAATTTAATGCAATGAATATATTTTGATAATGAAATTTAAAAATGTGTTTTGAATTGATTAGATATTGTAGTAATTATTTTGTAAAATCTTTGAAATTAGATATTAAATATTGGACATTATTGTCCCATGGCTGTAATATAAGAAGAATGATAATATTAGAAAAATAGCTAAATAAAAATAATTTCAGTTTATATTATTTGTTTGATACGTGTTATTTATAGAAACCAATTTTAATTATATTTATTATGTACTAACCAATGAATGAGAAAGATATGTATATCAGATCCCCTATTAACATCCCAATTCTTGTAAATCTACCCTTATTTTAAAGCAGGTACTAAGGGTCATATTCACAAGCTGGGGTATCTGTAAATCTTTCAGACAACGAGATCATGTATAAATAGAAAATAGTGGTTTCATTAAATAAAATAAAATATTATATCTTTATATTTCCATACGTCACAGATGTCATCAAGGACAGAAGCTCGATCTACCTCTCAAAAATTGAGTGTCACTACAACCAGCTCATTGCTTCTTTAATCGGCTCTTCATCACTAAGAAGATTGAAAAGATGTTGGCCAAGCGACCTTAAATGAAGCACTAGGCTTCACTCATTGGAGTGAACTCTAGTTAATTATTATTATTTATTTACTTATTTATTTATTATTATTATTATTATTATTTTTTCTTTAATATAATTATAAATATTATTTTTTTATTTTTTTTTTTATTCATTATTACTATTGTTGTTATTATTTTTATTATATATATATATTTTTTGTTCTCTTTCTCCTTGTGTCACAATAGCTTATAAGATAAATTGTATCTTGATTGCTATAAATAAATAAATAAAAAAAAAAAAAAAAAAATATCTTTATACCTTTCGCACAATACTGCATTTAATTTTACTTATATCTATTAATACTAATTCAATTTCTCTTTTTTATCATGATACTATAAAACTGAATAGTTCGACCAAATTCGATTATAATTTTTGGTTCAACTATATATATTCTATAAGTTTTCTTCATTTATATGAAATATATTTTAATAGGTATGTTTTAGAGATTAGTACTATTTTCCAAAACTAATATTGGAACTTAGAGGTTCTTGTCTTGTTGTTTTTGTTAACTCGTACGATATTAATGGATATAAAAAATAAAAATTTAAATTTCGATTTGAACTACAAGAACTGTTATGAAATGAATTGATAAGAGCCAAACAAATATGTTTGTAATTACAAATATGTTTGTAATCACATGTTGTTTCAGAATAAGTTAATAATATTTGCATTATTTTATACTTGCTCTTAATCAACAATGAAGGATTAATAATAATACATTATTATGGCATAGCTAAAATATGTATTGTGTACTACATAAATGATGATAATAAATTAATGATTTTGAATGAATAATCTTTCTCAGAAACTAGTTATACATAGCATTTTACCTTAAGGAAGTTGCCTGATCGACGTTATCTACAAGAATTAGAATTACAAGAATTAGAATAATACATTATTATAGCATAGCTAAAATATGTATTGTGTACTACATAAATGATGATAATAAATTAATGATTTTGAATGAATAATCTTGCTCAGAAACTAGTTATACATAGCATTTTGCCTTAAGGAGGTTGCCTGATCGACTTTTTCTACAAGAATTAGAATTACAAGAATTAGAATAATACATTATTATAGCATAGCTAAAATATGTATTGTGTACTACACAAATGATGATAATAAATTAATGATTTTGAATGAATAATCTTTCTCAGAAACTAGTTATACATAGCATTTTGCCTTAAGCAAGTTGTCTGATCGACTTTATCTACAAGAATTAGAATTAGCTATTAGATAAAATGTTTAACTAAAATTTAAAATTTAAATGTTTAAGGTTAAAAAATAACGATTTTCAATTGATATGGGATCGTTCAAGTATTACGTAAGCAGATTTATTACAATTATTTACACCCCCCTCCCCTTTGTCAGCAAAAGTAAGCAAATTTCTTACCCAAAATAAGCAAATAATAACCCCCCGCCCCCCTATAGTGCATACGTAATACTTGAACGGCCCCTATTAATTGAAGATACTCGAAGATATTTATCTTGGAAACATAATTATAAAGACTGTTTTTGTATAATTTAAATCAATTTGTGAAACAAATTCACTCATTTCGGGTTAAATATGTATTTAATTAAGTAAGAACGTGAACTATAATCAGTAGCTGCTTACAGAACACCACAGATCATACTGGTGCTATGACTTCTAATTAGAATCACTCAAGTATGCGTCGAAATTCTATACTTTGATGAATTTTAGTATGTTATTTTAGACTACGAATTCTATAGTTATACAAGGTTTCAACAGAATCCTCAAACAAATTTTTTTTTCAGTTTTTGAATATTTAAAATCTATTTAACTCTGTGGCCTAAAACATGTACGAAATATTTTACACTTTTTTGCCAATAATAAAAAAAACGGCTTGGCCGATCGTAAAATTGACCAACGATAGTCTTTATCGAGATACATCTAATGTTTTGAATTTTTGTAATCGGTCTATCCGTTTTTAAGTAAACGTTGACGATAGTTTAAAAATCGGCACACACAAACGTCTTTTTCCAAATTATGTCTCATTCAGTTCGGAATATATTAAAACGCCTAGAAAACGTAAAATTAGCAAATCCATTTTTTTGCGAAAACATAAACTTCTCCTTCGGGAACTTAATATCGAGTTGTGGAATTCGCAATGAATTAATAATTGCGATGCCGATCAAAAGATAACTGATACAGAGAGTATACTATAATCATACATAATATATTTAAAATGCTCAAAAAGAAATTCACAAGATCCAACAATCCTCTCGAGAAAAAAGCAATGAAGCTTTGACATGGATCCTCGTACCTCGGAATATTACTTGAAACTCTTGGAGCAATTGAAGAGTGTAGCCCGCTGATTGAATCTATATCTTTGGGATAAAGGATACAAGGATATGCAGATAATCTGAATAAAATCCACTCCTATGGGAAACTATGGAACGACGGTTACGACTGTGATATGTAAAATAGGAGTGAAATAACTCAAAGAAATGAACAGGATAAAAAAAATCTTTATACATCTTACGCTTTCAAGATGAGATGAAAGAATTTCCAAGTGTTCAAATGAGCTGAGTTATCAGTTGCATGAAATTAGATGATAGAAATGATACAATTATGTTAAGGATTACTGACATTTCTGTGTATTAGGAAATATGCCCTTGTGAAGTGTATACAATAGGGTAGGGTAGGGCGGTCACAAAGGTAAAATTTGTCTGATGGCAATTATTACTGTAAAAACTTAACTACCAAAAATTTGTCATCTAGTATTTTATACCCCAAAGGCAGAAGAAAAATCTCTTAACTCTAAATTAAAAATAACAGTACGCGTTACAAAACAATCAAGCAACCATATTAAAAAAAAAACTAACAAGGAATAAAAATTTTATTAATTTTTGAAGAAATTACAATGTGACCGCATATTTTATGACGTAGCTTGATTTAGGGCTATCTTTTCTCTCTACTTTAAAATAGTATCGTTAAAAAAATCATACTATTTTTATTTGTGAGATAATATTGCCCTCCGCCCACTAAGTGTCGCTCTTTTCATATATGAAGTGACTTAATGAAACTAAATAATAACGTTTTATTTATTATCATGTTTAAATGAATGTTTTAATGACCTTAGTTAATTTTAATTATTCTTTAGAAATATATCTAAGAAAAAACACAGAAAAAGGATAAGTAATCTTACCGTTTTTCAAAAATTGACGCAAAAAGTGTTTTATTTTTAGAAATTAAGTAATAATAAATTTGTTTTAACTACCTGTAGTGTCTCCTTAATATTTCTTATGGCAATTTACTGAAATCGATTTCAATATGTGCTTGTGAGAATTAATTTAAGTAATTATTAAAACGTTTATAAATTGAAAAAGTTGTGTTAATTGATTTTTAATTGTTTTACTAATATGGGAGACGTAAATTTTTTATATAGTTACTTGAAATCTTATCTTAAATTGGATAATCATCGTTTGAACATAATTTGCAACTGTTTATAGCTTGATACTGAATAAATTCGTATCCAATAAGTTTTTCTCATTGCTATCAAAAATTGCAAAAAAATGTTTTTTTTATAAGTGTCAAATACGCAACAACTTTATTTTTCCAGAATATCTGTTTATTGGTTAAAATTTGGTATTGCTCACATACTTTTATTATGTGTTAACTAAG